TAGGTTGTTTTCGTAGAAGGTTGTTTGTCATTCCAAATGATATAAAAGTTTTCCTTTAACCATAACCTTCACACGACTTTAATCCCAGCAATTGGGAGGCAGAGGCAGGTGGATTTCTGAGTTCGAGAGTTTGAGGCTAGCCTGGTCTACAAAGTGAGTTCCAGGACAGCCAGGGCTACACAGAGAAACCCTGTCTCGAAAAACCAAAAACCAAAAAACGAAAACAAACAAACAAACCCATAACCTTGTCAACCTTTTAAATGTTCCAAACTGGTGTGGTAAAATAATGTTATAATATTCATCTTTTTGATTATAGAGGAAAATTCTCAAGATATTTTTTGTTACACTACTGGAAATTGTTACCTGAACTGTTAATTTGCCCTGGGATTTGTTTCTTCTTACTGATCTCTAAGTTCTATTGTAGAAATCATTTATGTTTTATTCTTCAGAATGCTTTTATCTGTGACTGTATCATCTATCTTCTACTTTTATTCCCAGTATCTTTTACTGTACAACACTATCTCTGTCTACCAAGATATGTAGTATGACTATGAAGTGTTCCCTTTATGGTTGTTTGACTTTCAATATTTTTATCTCTGTTTTTCTTTCTTTTTGTTTTTGATAAATAAAATCTTTCCTCAAATAAAAGCATAAATATTTTCTTTCATTTTTCTAGCACCTTAACTCTTTAAATTGTATTCATATTTAGTTCTTGAATCTACATAGAATTTAATAAATTATTAAGAACAGGCACAGTCCCTGCTTTTTTATGTGTATAAATGGTTTTCCCAGCTATATCTTCAATAATTTAACATTCATCAGTCAATTGAGATTTCTTCATTGTGTAATATTTAATTTTTCTGATATACTTGCTTCCCTAATCATTGATGTATTTACTTGTCTGCTTTGTTTGTTTGGTTTTAAGACAGGGTTTCTCTGTGCAGCCATGGCTGTCCTGGAACTCACTCTGTAGACCAGGCTGCTTCAATTTCAGAGACCCTTCTGCCTGTACCTTCTGAGTGCTGAGATTAAAGTCCTGGCTTCACTTCTCCGTTATTGATATAGTATATTCAGTGATCTCTTAGCCCAATTATCCTTTCCTAACTTATTAATTTTACTGACTGTCCTTGATCATGTACTCATCAAAATGAATTTTAAAATAAATGTATTAATTCGTCATTTTGGTTTTTTTTCCTGGTAGTGAGATGTTTATATATTTTTGGTGTGCTTTAGTGACAGTGTTTTCTTCTGTATCCCAGGCTGGAATGGAATTCACTGTAGATCAGGCTGACCTTGAACTCATGGCAATCCTTCTGTCCCAGCTTCTCAAGCGCTGAGAATTCAGGCATGAGATACCATGCCTGAGATACTTTTCTGGAGCTAGAGGTACAGGCTGTTGTAAGCCATTGGTGTGGGTGCTTAGAACCAAACTCTTGGTCCCCAAGTTGAAGTTTAATAATACATTCAGTTTTGTCCGTATGCTTCCTAAAGCTTGTCTCAGGTTTGCTGGCACTGTGCTCTATAAGGCCCGTGGTTCATTTAGTAGTGTATATTGAATTATGAACTCCTAGGGCCAGCAGACTGTTAGGGTCCTTCAAGACCACTCACACATTTCATCAGCATATTAATAGGCAACCTTGTTTTATAAACATTTCTGTTTGAAGGCACCATATGTAATAATGAATTCATAACAACACTAACTCAAACCTGAATTAAGCTCAGCTAATGTGCATTTTCTCCTTAAATCATATCACATCCTTCATATGGTCAGCAATATTAGATACCACTTTGCCACTATAACTGTTTTTTAATCAGTGAAATAAACAATAAAAAAAGCAAAAAAAGTGAAATATATTGCCAAATGGACACTTATTTCCAGTATAACAGTTGAAACAAGAGAGATGAAGATTACCTTGCTTGATTTCAGATGAGAACGTGTACATTGGTGGTTCAGTTTTCCTGTGCATTGTGCTGTGTATGTTTCAAAAGACCTGTTAATTTTGGGTCACAAATAAACTTTTTTGACTAGTCAAATCTTCAATAAAATAGTCTATTGTAGCATCATAAATCCTTTTTGATGCTACTTATGTGTGCAAAGCTACTGGTTGCTAAAATCTTCAAAGTGGGCAGTATAAAAATACTGCAGAGACTGCACAGCTGGAGATACTTGAGATGAATATAGGCCTCACTATGTAGTCCAGCTGGCCTAGAACTCACTGTGTAGACAAGGTTACTCAAGTGTCTGCAGTCTTCCTGCCACAGCCAGCTGAGTGCTGGTTTTCTAATCTTGCACCACTGTGTGGCATCCTTGTTTTCTGAAGCAGGAACTTGAATTCCAATTACTCTTGCTTCCATCTTCCAACTGCTAGGCTTACAGGTATGTGGCACTTTTCTGGGACCTTTGATTAATTTTTTTTTTAATTCAAAGTTTTATCTAAGCATCAGAAATTCTATGTGGTTAATTTTACAGTAAAATTAGCTTTTTGTTTTGTCTTGTTTTTTGAGACAGGGTTGCTTTGTGTAGCCCTAGCTGTCCTGGAACTTGCTCTGTCGATCAGGCTGTCCTTGAACTGCCTGCCTCTGACTCCCAAGTGCTAGGATTAAAGGTATGTACCACCTTTAAAATTAGCTTATTAAAATGCTAGGTGTGGTGGCACATGCAATTAATTCTAGCACCTGGGAGGCAGAGTTAGCTCTTTATGATGAAGAAGGCTGAAGAAAGCCATGTGAAGCAAGCTAGTAAGCAGCACCCCTCCATGGCTTCTGCATTAGCTCCTGCTTCCAGGTTTCTGCCCTGTTCGAGTTCATGTCCTGACTTTCTTCAATAATGAACAGCAATATAGAAGTATTGGCCAAATAAACCCCTTTTTTTTTCAACTTGCATTTTGGTCGTGATGCTTCTTTGCAGCAGTAGAAATCCTAAGTCAGGGTCCATTTTTCAGGTTAACAGACTTAATATTTCAAAGGTCAGTTCAGAATGGCATTGTATCTGCAGCCCAGTTTATCTGTTCCTGTGTCTCAGCTCTGCTTAACACTTTTTTCTGCCCCATTTTAAGTATCCCGAATCATTTGTACCCCATTTTGATCCGCAGCATCCTCTCTAATGCTCTCCTTCTTTGGATGATCCAGTGTCTATTTTTTGTTACTCATCTTTTTGTTGAATGGTGACCCCTAGAGGCGGTTTTTTTCCCAGGGGGTGGGGAAGGATACATGGAGGTAATTCAATGTTATTTTTCCTACTTTCACTTTCACACATGCTTTGTATCCTGATTGTATTTAGAACATAGGGAAGAAATTTCTGTACACTGAAGTTTTAAAGATTTTGCTCCATTTTAGCGTCTAATGATATCATTGAGAAATCTGATACTGAGGGGATGGGGGAAAGGTGGGATGGTCCAGTGGTTAAGACTGTTTGTAGATCTTACAATGGCCAGAGTTTAGTTCCTAGCACACACATTGGGCAGTTGACAAATTCCTGTAACTTCATCTCTAGGGAATATGATACCAGTTTTTGCCTTCCATTGGTTCTTGCATCCATGTGCAAGGTACCAAGCCAGACTGTTACACACACACACACACACACACACACACACACACACACACACACTCACCTTTAAGAAATCTGAAACTGTCCTGATTAACAGTCCTTTACATATAGCCATGTTTGTCTTTCTGCCCTGTGAAATGCTTCGTATCTTTTGTTAGATAAAAAGGCTTGCTCTTCAGATTTTCACAGTGATGTGCTTGGGTGCATGTACTTTCTCATTTTTTATTTAACTTTTTCATATAATGTATTTTGAACATGTTTTTACCCTTCACCAACTCTTCTCGGGGCTGGTTATTTTATTTAAATGTGTGTGAATGTCCACATGTGTGCATGTCCTTGGTTAATGTTTGTAGATCAGTGGACTACTTGTGGGAGTTGGGTTTTTTTTCCTACGTTGTGTGTTTCTGGTATGGAGCACAGGGTGTCAGAGTTGGAGGTAATTGCCTTTAGCAGCTGTGTTACCACTCCTGATGGTTAGTTCTAACTGTCAACTTACAGTTACAATCCATAGTAACTCTGAAAGAGAGTTTCAGTGAGGGATTTTTCTATACCCAGTTGGCCTATTTAAATGTTGTGTTAACTGGTTGTGGTCCTTGTGCCTTTAGTAAATGTTGGAGGATAAAGAAACATGGGTAGTACGACATATACTAATTTTAGTAACTAAGGTTAAATGTGGGGAAAAAGTAGGTAATCGAAGACAGGGATAAGTATTAGATTGAGATAACTCTGAAAAGAAAAACAATTGATGTGGAGGGTAACAAACTGGGAAGAGAAAGCTGAAATACTGTTAGGATTCACAAATTTTAGTAATTGTGAAAACTTTGGATGTGAAGTCAAGAAAAGTGAGTGTAAGGCTGAGAGAGAAAGGTGTAAGGACTAAGAGGGGAGGACTTGAGAGGCAGGAGGAAAGTATGGTAGAGAATTCACAATAAAATAGTGGGTAGAGAATTATACACAACAGTCTGGAAACCCGATGGAGCAGTAACAAAATCAAACCCATCAATCAGGAGACATAGAGGCAAGAGTGGCAGTGAAATGACAGGAAGTATGGAACTCCAAGACTACTCTGTGGAGCATATGTCTGGCCCAGTTGTGCTGATTTGGAAAGATGAAGTTATCATATCCATCCAGCTCCAGCAGGCTCCACTCAGTGCTCGGCGAGGGAGGCTTGGGTGGCAGCAGTCAGTCTTTGCAGCCTCCTTCATCTTGGTCTCTATGTTTCAGGCCTACAGAGGAGAGAGGTTGGAAACCCATTCCTTATAGTTCCTGCAGAACCTTGTAGTTTTTTTTTTAATGAAATAGGCTAGGGTTTTTATGTTATATATCAAACAGAATTATTGAGTAGGAAAATGATTTTTGATAATAACAGATTACTTAGAATATGAAGAATTATGTATTGTTTACTTTGTAAAAATTTGTAATCTATACTCTTCAATGTTATTTGTCTTGGCAGATTGTGATGGTATAAAGCCACTGGAGGGTGTGAGAATTCTGGATCTAACAAGGTTTGTGTTGGGTTACCTGCAGTTTAGTGATTGAGTTTCCCCCAGTTTTGAAAAGATTTTATTAGTCTTTAGATTATATGGAGATATTTACATGCTTATGTTGAAATTTTAATAAATGAACAGAAAAGAAATTCTGGACTATAATTTCAAAGACAATGTAGCATTTATGATTTTTTCCAATATTCATATTTACATATAATTAACTATATTCAAATTATAACTGTATTGAAATTAGGTTCCCCCTCTTTTTTGTTTTTTTGTTTTTCAGACAGGGTTTCTCTGTTTACCCCTGACTGTCCTGGAACTTACTTTGTAGACCAGTTTGGCTTCAGACTCAGAGATCTGCCTGCCTCTGCCACCCAAGTTCTTGGATTAGAGGTGTGCACTGCCACTGCTCTGAAGTTTTTAGCTATATTTTAAATGTACCAGTATGGTTTGAATAATTTCCTATGCTCATTTAAAGTTAACAAAAGATGACATTTATAAATGCCCAAATTATTCTTCATTTTTTACTTCTGTAAATAAGGACTTTTTGTATGCTTTTATATATATTTTTGCTTTAGTTTCAATTTTTTTCCTCAGGATAGAATTCTAGAAAGAAAGTTCCTGCATCAAATGGGTTATAGTTTTTTTAAGCTCTTGATAAATATGGAAAATTGCAATTCTAATAAGTTTAATCATTGCTAGCATTATATGAAGTTCTTTGTGTTAAATGACTTAATAAAATAGTTAATACAAAGGTCTTGAGATGGTCATTTATCTATCACTGTTTAACATTGTAGAGTACTGGCAGGACCTTTTGCCACAATGAATTTAGGAGACCTTGGAGCAGAAGTTATAAAAGTGGAAAGACCAGGTAAATTTATTTACTTTTAAAAAGTAGAGTCTAATAAAAAAAAAAGTAGAGGCTAATAAATGTTTTTGGGAATTCTATAAATGATCCAGGATAAGCATACCCATAAATTGAGTGAGGAAATGATGGAAATGAGTTATTTTTCTTCATTCCCTGTCTTTTTATGTGTCTATATTAATTATTGTTTCTTTGTGTATATCAAGGACTAAGACTGAAGCCAATTATTTCTCTTATACTGAAAGATTCTGTTAATATACATAATTACAGTGCTGATAGCAACACCATAGTGTTAGTCAAAGTCTTAAGCCCTCCACCGAGTTTAGTTTAATTGTTGCAACAACTCTTTGTGCTGATAAACTAATCCTAATGTAAAAGGAATATATAAGTACTGAGTTATGATCCTGGTTCTCCTAAGCCCATATGAGTGGTCCCATGAGTTAGTGAGACTGTATTTCATGACTTTGGGCTGAAGGGCAAAGGTGCAAAAAAAGAAGGGCATAGGATACAGAGAAAGAGAAGGAAAAAGAATTAAAGTTCTGTAACAAGAGGTCCAAATACCCCAAACTAAGTCATTATTTACTAATAAAAGAAACATTTAATTTCATACCCTAAAAGTTTGATTAAAAAAAAGCCAAATTTAGAAAAGTTCGTTGGCAGCTCTACATCCAACAGAGGGCTGATATCAAAAATATGTAAAGAACTCAAGAAACTAGACATCAACAAACCAAAAAACTAAATTAAAAATGGGGTACAGATCTAAACAGAGATCCTTGACAAAGGAATCTCTAATGGTTGAGAAGTTAGAGAAATGTTGAACAACCTTAGTCATCAGGGAAATGCAAATCAAAAGGACTCTGAGGTTTCATCTTACTCTTGTCAGAATGTCTAAGATCAAAACCACAAGTGATAGCTCATGCTGGGAAGGATGTGGAGTAAAGGGAAACATCTTCCATAGCTGTTGGGAGTGCAAACTTTACAACTTGAAAATCAATTTTGGGCTTTCTCAGAAAATTGGGAATAGTTCTACCTCAAGACCCAGCTATACCACTCCTGGGCATATACCCAAAAGATGCTCCACCATACCACAAGGATACTTGCTCAACTATGTTCATAGCAGTTTTATTTGTAATAGCTAGAAGCTGGAAGCACTTAGATGTCCCTCAACTGAAGAATGGATACTTCATTTACAAAATGAAGTATTACCCACCTGTTAAAAGCAATGACATCATTAATTTTTCAGGCAAATGAATGGAACTAGAAAAGATCATCCTGAATGAGGTAACCTAGACCCAGAAAGACAAACATAGTATGTACTCACTGATAAGTGGGTATTAGTCATAAAGCACAGGACAATCCACAGACCCAAAAAAACTAAGTAACAAGGAGGGCCCAAAGGGGTGTTGCTTTAATCTCACCAAAAAAATGGGAACTAGAATAGACGTGGATGATGGAGATGGATGGGGATGGGAGTGGGGTGATGTGGGATGGGGTGGAGATGGGAACACGATGGATCAGGTGGCAAAAGGACGCAGTGAGAGAGTACTAGGAGAGACAACTGGAATGGGGGAGGGCATCTCTGGAATGAGCTACAAACCTAGGGCAACAGAAACTCCTAGTAATATATGAGGGTGACCTTAGCTAAGACTCCTAACAATGGGAGATATGGAGGCTGAACTGGCCATCTTCTGTAACCAGGCAAGGCTTCCTATGGAGGGAATGGGACACTAACCCAGCCACAGAATATTGGATCCACAATTTGTTCTGCATTTAAGATGTACAGGGATAAAGATGGAGCAGAAATTGAGGGAAGGGCCAACCAATGACTGGCCCAGCTTGAGGCCCATGCCATGAGAGGGAGCCTACCCCTGACACTATTAATGATAGTCTGCTATGTTTGCAGACTGGAGCCTAGACTGGAGCTTAACTGTCATCAGAGAGGCTTCACCTAGAAACTGATGAAAACAGACGCAAAGACACACAGCAAAACATTAAGTGGTGCTTGGAGAATCCCATGGAAGATGGGGAGGAAGGATTAAAGGAACCAGAGGGTTTAAGGACACCATAAGAAAAGCTACAGAATCAACCAACCTGTAACTATAGAGGCTCATAGAGACTAAACTGCCTATCAGAGAGCATGTATAGGAAGGACCTTGGCCCTCTACACATATATAACTGCTGTTCTGCTGTGTCCTGTCCAGCAAGGCATTAAACAGGGTCCAGGGAGATCACCTAAGAGAGAATGGGGAAAAACGGGTGAACACAAATGAACACGGCTTGTCTATAGGCTGATCAAACTGTTATTTTTACTTTTTACACACAGTTTATATACACAAAAAGGCAGGATGTGGGGAAGGGGATGACACAGGAGCGTAGGTGTTCAGGGGGAGTACAGATATCTTCCAGAACAGAGTGTCAGCTGGGTGAAGGTTCAGGAGACAGGTCACTATGACTCCACCTATGATTCACTTGTCCTTATCTAAGTTGGTACTATCCACCAAGGTTACCTATCTACAAGGTCTATGACTAGCCTGGCAATTTTCCACCAAAGCTGCCTGTTTACAATAGCTTATAGCTGTCTGTTTCAGTGTTTTCCCACAAGACTCAAGACTTTGTGTTAGCATGCATGTATGTCAGGCCTATTGCTGTTTTTAGGCCTATGGCTGATTTTAGGCCTTCAGTGTATAAGTGGGGCTGCCCCTGACACTGTTGGGTCTTCATGTGGGACCTAACACCAGGAGCAGGGCTGTATCTGACTCTGTTGCCTGCTTTTGGATCTCTTTCACCTAACTGGGCTGCCTTGCATGGCCTCAGTAGGAGAAGCTGCACCTAGTCTTACTGCAAATTGATATGCCAAGGCTGGTTGATATCTATGGGAGGCCTACCCTTTTCTGAGGAGAGGAGAGGTATAAGGGTGAGGGTGGGAGAAGGTAAAAGACAGGGACTGTGAGAAGAGAAGGGAGAGGAAGCTGGGATTGGGATGTAAAGTAAAAATAATAAAAAAGCTAAATTTAGATAAATTCTTTGTCAGTTTTTACTTTTAAAAAAATCTATCCACCCATCCATCCATCCATCTATCCATCCACCTATCATCTATTTTTCCCCATATAGGTTATTTTTTATTAATCATTTTATTTGTTTACGTTTTAAATGATATCCCCCTTCCAGGTTACCCCTCCACAAATCCCCATCCATACACCCTCCCCCCCTTTCCTTTGCCTCTATGAGGGTACTCCTCCACCTACTCACTCGCTCCTGCCTCACCGCTCTACCATCCCCCTATGTTGGGGCATCAAGCCTCCACAGGACTAAGGGCCTCTTCTCTCAATGATGCCTGACAAGGCCATTCTCTGCTACATATGTATCTGGAGCCATGAATCCCTCCATGTATATTCTTTGGTTGGTGGTTTAGTCCCTGGGAGCTCTGAGTGGTCCAGTTAGTTAATATTGTTCTTCCTATGGTGTTGCAACCCTCTTCAGCTCCTTCAGTCCTTCCCCTAACTCTTCCACTGGGGACCCCAATCTCAGTCCAATGAATATCTGGATCTGTATTAGGTACTAGCAGAACATCTCAGGGGACAGCCATACCAGGCTCCTGTCAGCAAGCGCTTCTTGGCATCAGCAATAGTGTTAGAGTTTGGTGTCTGCAGATGGGATAGATCCTTAAGAGGGATGGACTCTGGATGGCCTTTCCTTCAGTCTTTGTTTCATTTTTGTCCCTGTCTTTCCTTTGGACAGGCATTTCTGAGTTAACAATTTTGAGATGGATGGGTGGCCCCATTCCTCAACTGGGGGCCATGCCTATCTACTGGAGATGGTCTCTACAGGTTCTATCTCTCCTTTGTTATGTATTTTGGCTAACATCATCCCTGTTGGGTCCTGATAACCTCTCTCTTCCCTGGCCTCTGGGATGTTCTATTTGCTACCACCAGTTCTCCATTCCCCATTGCTACATATTTCTATTCAATTTCCTGACTCCTCTGTGTTTCTATCCTGTCCCTTCCAATACCCAATCCTGACCCCTTTTATCCCTCCCTCTCATCTTTCCCTCCAAGGTGCCTCTCTCCCTCTACCTCCTATGATTATTTTGTTCCCCCTACTATGTAGGATTGAAGCATCCACACTTTGGTCTTCCTTCTTAAGCTCCATATGGTTTGTGGGTTGTATCGTAGATATTCTGAGCTTATGGACTAATATCCACCTATCAGAGAGTACATACCATGGGTGTTCTTTTGTGACTGGGTTACATCACAGGATGATATTTTCTAGTTCCATTCATTTGCCTACAAAACACAGGTTGACCTTATTCTTAATGCTGAGTAGTACTCCATTGTGTAAATGTACCACATTTTCTGTATCCATTCTTCTGTTGAGGGACATCTGGGTTGTTTCTAGCTTCTGGCTATTATAATTAAGGCTGCTATAAACACAGTGGAGCATGTGTCCTTGTTATATGTTGGAGCTCTTTTTGGGCATATGCCCATGAGTGGTATATCTGGGTCTTCAGGTAGAACTATTTCCCATTTTCTAAGGAACCACCACATTGATTTCCAAAGTGGTTGTACCAGTTTGCAGCCGCATCAGCAATGGAGGAGTGTTCTTCTTTCTGCACATCCTTACAAGCATCTGCTGTCACCTGAGTTTTTTATCTTAGCCATTCTGAGTAGTGTGAGGTAGAATCTCAGGGTTGTTTTGGTTTGCATTTTCCTGATACTAAGGATGTTGACCATTTCTTTAAGTGCTTCTCGGCCATTTGAGAGTCCTCAGTTGAGAATTCTGTTTAGCTCTGTACTCCATTTTTAAACTTGGGTTATTTGGTTCTATGGAGTCTAACTTCTTGAGTTCCTTGTATATTTTGGATATTAGCCCTCTATCAGATGTAGGGTTGGTAAAGATCTTTTCCCAATATGTGGGTTGCTATTTTATCCTTGACAGTGTCCTTTGCCTTACAGAAGCTTTGCAGTTTTATGAAGTCCCATTTGTTGATTGTTGATCTTAGAGCATGA